GGTTGGCCAAATCAGGCCACTCGCTGTGTGTTGAGCTAACACCCTTTCCCCTCTTCAAATGGGATTCCCATCTCTGCCTGCACTGTCATTTCACAGAATGTCTGTTCCCTTCCCCACCCTTCTCTGGCTCTGTCCTGGTCTCTGGCTCCCAAGGGTGGCAGGGTGGGTGTGTAGTGCTGGGGTCTCTTTACTAGGAAACATACATGCCCTGGCAGGTCAGTTGTTAAGTGCTTGTTTTCAGTGGCAGGAGGGCAGGTGGGTTGGGTCTAGGATCCCAATGGATGTTGTTTGTAGGGACCCAATGCAGCTGTTGTACAACCTTCCTCGGGTGCTACGGAGGGTCTGAGGACGCAGATTTCCTGATGGCTTTTCCATCTGACCTGCAACGTCGCAGATCACCTGGCCTCTCCAACACACAAACACATCCTCGAATTGCCTGCTTTCAGGACTTCTGCCTTTGTTTTATTTGGGGTTTTTTTCAGTGATTCTATTTTGCTTCATCTCATGCGCAGCCAGGTGCATGGGCCCGCCTGCAGGATCAGGTAGGGAGCATCGTCTTCATGTGATGTGTGTGTTTGTGTATCTAAACAAGCATGCTGGAAGCTCGAGGGAGGAGAGGTAAAGTTTAAACAGCCCCACCTCCTTTTGCAATAGCCAAGAAAACATTCTTCTTTAAAAAGATCACTGGCATCTTCCTTGGCTGGCTTTTAAACATGCACTGTAGCAGGTTGACTCAGCATGTTTGAATGGTAGAAACTGTAATTAACCTTGTAGGCTTCCTGGCTGAAAGCAAACACTTTAGTTTGACTGCTCTTGGCTGATTTAACACAAACTCCAGCATCCTCTGGCCAGTGACGAATGTTCGCAGTAGATTAGTTGTAACTAGTACAACATAAAGCAGTTAGAAGCAGCGTATCAGTGCAGGCTGGACTGTCCGATTAATCCACCCATCTCTCCAATCTTTTCACGTGACGTTACTGTTCTGGTGCCTTGCTGCTTCCACAGGTCTGTTCTATCCCACCCGAGCGCCTACCCATCGTGCATTAGGCACCGTGACTGACATCTGTCACGCGTGAGTCATTCTCGCCCCAGGGGGCGAGCTGTGTGTGTGGTGGAGTGTTTTGGTTTGGGTGACAAGATATTTTTTTTTGAAATGCCCATCCTGCTCTGCGTTAGGTCGGGTTTAACCCATCTCTCCTCTACTGGAAACTGAATGGTAGGCAGGTCAGAGGTCATTACAAGAAAAAGTGCCCAGCGCTTCCCTTTACCAGCCAGCACCAGGCTGTATTTGAAGGTGAGTCATCACACACACACAACACACACACACATGCACGCACACACACACACGCGCACACTCTCTCTCTCTCTCTCTGCATGCTCTGGCAGTTTGTGGCGCTGCTGCACTGGCCTTATCAGCAGGCAGTGGGGATAGAATTACCCCAGAGCACAAGGTGTGCCGCTCTCTGAATTCTCCCAGCGCTGGGATCCCTCTCGACCCCCCTCTCTGTTTGTTGTGTTTGGGCTTGAGATAGCAGCAGAGGGTAAATAACATGTCGGGGAGGCGGCCGGGGGGTCTCCAGGGGCTTCATTTGCTGCTGCTGGCCCCCAATCCCAAGACTGGCACCGCTTGTCGTTCGGGGTTCTTGGGCATTGGTGCCGCGTGTGTGTATTTGTGTGTGTTGGGGGAGCGTGGCAAAGAATGTTCCATTAGGCGTGAAGGCCACGGGCCCTGCAGCTTATTTATTTGTTGACAGTTTTCTGCCCCCAAAACTCTTGTTTTCCACTGTAATCCTTTTAATGTCTCACACTTCGGACGGCAGCCTCCCGCCCTCTGCCCCAATCCACAAAGACACAGCACTCCCAGCTCTGGCTGCTCTATGGGCAGGCTGGACCCTTATAACAATGGCTAGGGGAATGGACCAAACACTGTCGCTGGCCCAGAACAGCGTAACCACAAGCCCCGCAGGCTGCAGGTTGATGGGGATGATACAGATCTGTGTGTCTGTGCATGCATTCGGAGACACACTCAGTGTCTGTATCTCTGGCCAAGCTGATAGGCCATCGTTGAGGAAACCAGCCCTCTTCAGGAAAGCACTTAAGCAGGTACTTAACTTTAAGCAGGTACTTTAAGTGCTTTGCTGGACAAGAGCCTTGGTTGGTAGCGCTGCGGAATGGGGAAGGTGTTTGCAGCCAGGCTAGGATTTGGGGGTAAGGGGTGAGGACAGGGTCTGGGTTACCTCTAGACTTTCAGCCCCTGATCCCCAAAAGGCTTTCTCGGGTTTCGAAGAGGAAAGTTTCTGCTTCGGGAACCTCAAAACACAAAGAAAACCTGGCCCCCATCCCATGGAAGAGAGGGGGGTGAGGCTCTGAGGGGGCCCCGTGTGATGGGCACAGGGGCATGTCTGGGCACATCAGTAATGCCCTGGGTGTCTGGCCCTTTCTCTCCGTGTTAGAAATGAATGTTTTCTTCCTTCTGCAACAGCTGTGTGGGTTGTTACATTGCTTTCCTTCTCTTTGGCCCCTGCTTCTTCAGCCCCCTCCCATATCCTCAGTCCAGACACATGGACCTACTCAGCCTGGCTCTCACTGGGCAGCACCACCGCGGGCACTGGGGGTCCACAGGTGGCACCGTATGCAGCATATATTCAGCCCTTAGCCTTCCTTGATAACAGCAGCCCCCAGCCGGCTGCTCCTGTTGTTTCTGTCCAGGATTTCCCCCCATCCAGCTTGGGGTTTATTTTTTCCAAGGCCTTTTTTTTAAACGGATCTTGGCGTTTCTCTGTTGCGGGGTGTAGGTCAGTACTGTACCCACTGCTGTAGTGTGTAGGTCTGTGCTTTCCCCTGTGGGGTACTGTACCCCCGCTGTACCCATCGCTATAGTGTGTAGGTCTGTGCTTTCCCCTGTGGGGTACTGTACTCCCGCTGTACCCACCACTGTAGTGTGTAGGTCTGTGCTTTCCCCTGTGGGGTACTGTACCCCCGCTGTACCCACCACTGTAGTGTGTAGGTCTGTGCTTTCCCCTGTGGGGTACTGTACCCCCGCTGTACCCACCACTGTAGTGTGTAGGGTTGTGCTTTCCCCTGTAGGTTACTGTACCCCCGCTGTACCCACTGCTGTAGTATGTAGGTCTGTGCTTTCCCCTGTAGGGTACTGTACCCACCGCTGTAGTGTGTAGGTCTGTGCTTTCCCCTGTAGGGTACTGTACCCACTGCTGTAGTGTGTAGGTCTGTGCTTTCCCCGTAGGTTACTGTACCCCCGCTGTACCCACCGCTGTAGTGTGTAGGTCTATGCTTTCCCCTGTAGGGTACTGTACCCCCGCTGTACCCACCGCTGTA